GCTGGGGGCAGGGGCAGGTGCCAGCGTTCCTCATGTGCAGAACCATCTTCTTGGTGTCCTTGCGCTTGAGTGGGCCCAGCTTCAGCACCTTCTTCTTCTGGGCAGCCACCAGCCGCCGCTCCCCATTCTCCTCCGTCATCTCCTTGATGCGCATCTTCACCACTGTGTGGGGCAGCCGTGGGGCATAGTTGGGAGGGGTACCGCCATGGGTCCCTGCTGGGGTGCTGCTGGGGGGATCTGCCCTAGGCACCTGTGCAGGACAGGGCACAACCCCTTCCTGGGTGGGACCCAGAAGAAGGGTCTCTGGGGAAGTTATGTTTGGGGAGGGGAAGGGGCTGTTGGGAGGTAGCACCCCTATTGATCCTTCCAAATGTCCCATTCTGCCCAGCCCCCCATGCATGTATTCTCCTGGGGTGGCCCCATCCCATGCACACAGAGTCCAAGGGAATGGCTCAGGGGGTCTCTCATGGGGCTGTCCCGGGAAAACCATGCCCTCCAGCCAAACCCCCCAGTCCGTCAGAGCTGGGGGAGGGCAGACCCTTGTCCAGGGAGGGCTGGGAAGGGGACCCCAGCACTCACCGAAGTCGCTGGAGCACATCTGCTCCATCATGCCATCCGCCTTGTGCTCCATCTCGCACTGGGTGCAGATCTTGGACACTGCAGTGAGAGACCAGCCACTGTCAACAGCTCCCTGCTGCTGACACCTGTCACCAGGGCCAGCCCTGTGGGAACATGCTGGGAGAGCCCTGGCAGCCCCTCTGCTCCCTGGGCAGCTGTGCCACGATGATGTTGGGGACAGGGAGCACCTCACTGGCTGGCATCCCAGCACCACCCCAGGAGGGATAGGGCATGGGGACACGTCCAGTCCAGCTGCTGACACTGGAGCACAGCAGCAGCAGTGAGGGAGGCCCCAGGCTGAAGGGTGTCACAGCCCTGATCCTGACCCTGGGCTGCCTTTGGGTGATGTCCCCTCCCCTGCCTGAGGGGACAGCCAGACATGGGGCCAATACCCACAGGTGCAGTATGCAGGCTGCTCTTTGCTACTGGGATGGGACCCAGCAGGAGGCAAGCGACGCAGCTCTGCCACAGGCTCCCCAGCAGCTCCCACCACGTCCCATGTTGTCCCCCATTGTTGCTCCTGTGGCTGCTCCACTCTCCCCTGCCCTGGGCAGCTCTGTGCAGGCAGCTGGGTGCCTGGCTCCCCAGGCAGTGGGGGGTGCCCAGCCAAAGCAGCTGGTCCTGCTTGTGCTGTGCCCACTTGTGCCCTGCTGCAAACAGCGGGTCCTCGGCCAGCACCAGTGCCCTGGGCCCTGCTTTGAGGGGTGCAGAGACGGGGGTATGGGGGCTCTGCAGGGGGACCCTGCATGCGGGTCCTCGGCTGCATGGGGACACGCTACTGGCAGGTGCCCTGTATGCGT